TTTCCCCGAGTCAAGTCTGTTTTGCCCATGACTGTAATGGGAGAGTTATTCTGTGATTCTCTTGACCCAGGAGCCTTTGGTCACATTTTCTCTCCCCTGCTCAGCTGAGAAGGGGAGAGATAGAGTGGCACCCAGACAGGGTCAACCCACAACACCATCTATGGCAAAATTTGCACCTTACTTCTCAATATTAATCCACAAGTCACATGTAACTATAAAAATTTGTTTTGTACTATTACACAAAACAGATTTTGCTGATACTCTGAAAGCCATCTAAACATAACACACAAGCATCGTATAAAACAGCTGCATGCAAAGAAATAAAAATCTATTGGTTTACTATAGGTTTGTGCCTCCAAGTTCCTCAAATGTTATACACGATAGTCCAAACAAGATTATTGCCTCTGTCTGGGTTATTTCCTTAGTTTTTCCTCAGTTTTTGTTCTACAGCGTCTACTGAAAGCTTCTTTAAGGAAAATGTTGTGAAAAGTTACCAGCGTCCTCTTTAAGGTCCGTTTTTAAGACACCACACTTTCTTTTTAAATTTAACCTAACTAGACCTAACTGGAAAGTTTTCTTATCCTCTGGGCCTGAGCCTCCTTCTTAGCATCCCTCTCACATCTTCACAAAGCATCTTCCCGCCAAGTTTCAGACTTCCAATACCTGCCTATATACCCCTCCCACTACCACAGCCAGCCCATAGTATATTGGTCACCTGGCAAGAAGRCTCAATGAGGGTTGCAAAACAGCACATGTATTATATTTCTACCTTTCCTACAAGGGGGACAAGGGAGAAGGTGGTTTTAAGRATAGTACAAAAACACTTCTAAAAAATTCACAAAATTTTCACCCTTCTATCAAGTTTGCAGTTAACCACAAGATTCGAATGGCATTCAAACATGGTGCAAAAAAAAAMCACATTAGATTCTCTGACAAATATCAAGGAATAGCATTCTTCAGAAGTAATGTTTTCTGTGCCTAACCACCATCCAAGGAAATATAAAACACCTCAGAAAGATATTAGRTTACCTCACGTATTTTTAACTTTTTTTATTCAGGAAATGAAAATATAGTCAGAAACATCAGAGAAATCAAAAAGCAGCAGTGACTTAAATTTTCACGGGGAGACGGAAGTCAATGCTTCACAAACACCCAGCTTTCAAGAAAAAGCAAGAATTTTCAAATTTTGAAATTTCCAGTTGCAGACTAAATACCTGATTTATATTTAAAAAAAAACCCAAACATATAAAGCTTATTATAGTGAACTCTAATAAAAAATACTGTAGATGCCTAGCATAGCACACACACACACCAACAGAATGTCCATAAAACTCCCCAAAAATTTTACATTTTGAAGCAGCATTCTGTAACTAGCAGCCCAAGGGTTCCCAGAGTCTCAAAAATACAGCAAGCAGGAGTTCCCTGCAGATAATGGAAATAGCTTCACAAGTAAACAGCAAGGAATGCCTATCTCACACAACACCACAGTATTGCGCAGGGAGGAAATCAAGGCTTCTGAAACATAACACTGATAAATTTATTAGAAAAAAAAAATTGAAGGAGTCTCAGATACTGCTTCAGATGGTTACTTCATGATAGGAGCAGCTGCAGTGATTGTAACAGCAGCGCTACTAACAACTGGCTTAGCTTAACAGTTAGCTTAAGACCTGTACATCAAATCATGAATGACGAGATCACTGTAGCAATGAAAACTGCAGAAAAAAAAAAAACATTTTAAAAGATCATACAAGGCAGTATTGTCCATCCCATTCAGATACACTGACTGCACTTGACACAGCAATAAGGAGGACTGAATGTCAACCAAGAAAAAAATTCAGATGCAATTTCATTCCTTACTTGACTGGAGGTACGTGACTTTGCAACACAGGAAAGAATTGATGTAATAAGTGCTTGAAAGTAAAAATCCCTGGGCTTATTGTCCATTGCAAAGGCTCACCTTTTAATACTGGAAATAGACACTTTTTGGAAAAAAGTTCACAGCATGAAAACCACATATCTATGTAAATGTGCCAATAACACATTTTCATTTTATCTTACATTAATAGACTTTTTTGCCAGGATGATTCTCATGACCCCTGCTTTTGAACTGCTGAAGAAAACAAAAATACATCTTCTCTATTCACAAGATACAAGGTCTTCCAATACTGATTATGATTTTATAGATTCAAAACTATACCAGTGTTTTCTACTCACCATTTATGATGTGCTAACACACATCTGTGAATTCTAAAGCAAGTCATCTTATGAGCTTACAGACCATTCCCACACACACTTTATACTAAAGTCTAAGTAAGCTGAGGACATCAAATTGAGAATAATTCTGTATCTTCTGCAACGACTGTTTTGCGACATCCATACTGTCACCTTTGCATTGAATTTGAAGAAACTATTAGAAATATAAATACAGCTCTTGCAGCGACAGGGAAAGCTCCTGCTCTCCTCCTGGGATGGATGACAGCCTGCGCATAGCAAAGACGCAGGCTGAGGAGTACAGGGCTGCAAGTCAACCTGAGAGCTCGGCCATCTGCCAGCAGTCACTCAAGACAAGGAATGCCAACTGCATTTGGAGCAGCCAGCCAGGCTCAAGACATGCAGTCCACATATACTCTCCTAGTCCCAAGCAGCCATCGATGGCCTCCCCTGGATGACAAGACAAAGGGTGCATGTGCAGAAAAGGGAGGTCTTTTCCTAAAAGTAACCTAAGCCATTTATCTATCATAAAAGTTATTACTGTGCATAATARGAAGACCTAATTTTCTTCACAGGATTTATTTTACCATTACTCAGCACTTTCCTATCTCTCTCTTCTATTTCCTTTCCTGATCTTTCAAATTCTCATTGGCAACTTGAATTCACTTCCTCCCCTCCCTCTAAGACATCCAGAACTGGAAATTTAACACTAATATCAAAATTGGCATAATAGGAAAGATCAAAACAATTCTCACTCAAGAATTTTGCAGACTTAAGCAGGCTTATTTCTGGGTCTGCACCTCTGCAGCAAAGGTATTTCAAAATATGACTTTGCACATTTTTGAGGCTGTAGTAACTAGTCAGATTGAAGTCCTGGATCATATGCACATCTAGCAAACCTAAGGCATGCACAGCACAGGAGCTGAAGAGTTGGTCATCTAACACAACCAAGACAGATTAAAAAGCTCTATATGCACACATGAAATATGGAAATACACAACCCATCATACACACCACCTTATAATCCCAAAAGATGTCTAAGGGGGATCTCTCATAGAAAATCTGGAGTTTCTAGGACTCTTCTACCCTCCACCTTTCTTCTCCAGGAGGAAAATAAACAGTCCCACATCACCATATACCTTTGTAGAGAGTTGTAAATTGCACATTTTTTGAGCATTTTTTTTCTAGAAAAGCATGAAGGAAACAAAAGAATCAAGAAGGAAATTTATGCACCAGCATAAGTGGGTGCACTTCTTGGCTGTATTCTGGGGAATTGTCAAGAGCAATGAAAAAATTTAACACAGACAACAGCCTCATGACTGAGCTCTTACTGCAACTCTGTGATAAATACCTGTGTATTATGAATCACTGTTCCCTCTCACACCTGAAATACATTCAGGTTAGTATGCTGTGCACTCAGGCAGCTGGAGCATCAAAATCTGTAAGACTTGTCTTCTTTATTTTTACTGATTACAATTCTGAACACTAATTGTAGTTTAGCTCGGTTTCACAGACAGTAAATGCTACTCCTGCCTCGTTTTACCTCACCATCTCTATCACCTACTTGATAACTTGGCTTCTTAGACAAAATAGTTGCAATTTTTTCACCCACTATTTAGCATATTTTACATTCATGTATTTACAATCGTTTCCAACACTGCGTGCTCAATTCAGAGAACTTCACAGTATTATAAATGAACGTCCATTCACTGCAATGAGTGATGACAATGGTGTCATTTCCTACGAGGGCTAACGAACCTTACTGGAATCAATAACTTTTGTAAAGAGAATGATCACCCATTCGAGGGCTTCAATTCACATCATTACAAATCGAGTAACAGACARCAGCCCAGCAGGACCAACCACGTGAGGTACAGGTTTTGATAGCTTGCAATTCAGCTACCTGTATCTCCGGTAAGTGACTGCAAATTATTTAAGTCTTAAGCTGGAACTGAATTCGAAGGATCTACTGAAAGTATCCCAAAGTTAAGAGCCCTTGCAAAGCTTGGCAAATCAAAGCCGAAACAAGACATTGAACCACCAGCACAACACGCTAATGTGGTAAGGGCCGAYAGCTCCGAGCAATCGCAGCAATAACCAGGTTGACCCAGCGTGGTCCACCGTGTACCGTCGCACACACAGCTGAAACCCAAGCTGAACTATTTGCTGTGACTTGTCCCTCACCGCACGGGAGGAGGAACCCGAGCATGGCGCCACCGCCASCCTCCCCCGGCCCAAGCACGGCGAGAGCTGTGCCGGAATGCCAGGGCTGGCGGGAGCCCCCGGTGAAGAGCCGCACGGTCAGCAGAATGTGGGGGTGTGCCCGTTGCCTTTCGAGCTGCGGGCCCCGAAGGGCGCGCAGATCGCGGCGCTCATCAGCACCGGGGGCCGTGGGGCGCCGCCGCCGCCCGGGCAATCCTCGCGATGGGCGCGGGCCCGCGTGGGCCGCAGGGAGGGCCCGGCCGCTGCCGCCGCC